TATATATATATATATATATATATATACACATATATGCATAAGACTTGATGTACCCAAGGGCAATATAGCCTATGATGATCTTTAATCCGGAGGTGAGTCTCCTGACAGGATTACCCATACCTCTAATATTCCAACTAATAAATCTGAGAGGTGTGCCTGCCCCAGCAATGCTGGGATCTATATTGCTGTTAGCCATTTAACAACACAAATAGCCATAGAGAGCCAAAGTGGGACACCCTCCCCTCAACAAACCCCTAGACACACACACCCCCAAAATCCCCATATAACCACAGAGCAAAGGAGACAGCAGCGTTTCCCACAGTAACCAAAAGTCGTCCACAATAATGTGAAAACAACTTGGGAGACTAAGCAGAACAAATAAACAAAGGAGAAGTAAGAGAAAAGACTCTGATTGACAGTATGCGCACAATGACAAATACAACATATTTTTTATAAACTCACATTACAAAATATTGTTCTGTCTGAAAGTGAGCATTACAGCAAAACAACATTAATAAATATCCTCATAACATAAATCAAGTTAATGCACAGAACAGATAAATAAAATACAGGCAATACAATAGTATAGCATGTTAAAATGAAATATACTAATGACAATAAGTCCTATAAAGGTTGATGCAAAAAGCTTAAAATGAGGTAGTGCAAATGCAATATTTTTTCCATTGATCTTTTCAGGACAAAATTACAAAATACGGTATACACCATGTTACACAATAGTAACCAATAAAAGACTAAGGAAAAAGTACTCTGGCATAATATTAAACAAACAAAAATAACACTAACCTAGTTAGTGCATCAAAACAGAAAACCACTTATTAGTGCAATAGTAGGCTTAAGGGTAGTGAACGAACTCTAAGCAGTAATAATAATAATAATAACAATAATATTATTTTAATTACAAAGGAGATCGCTGTAAAGTAACAACCCTGAGTGCACTAAAGAATGAAAAAAGTCTGCTCTAACAGAGCTATTACAGCTTACCCAGAAGTTTTGACAGGAAGGTTTTGACATAGTCACTGGCTTCCTCCGCTGAAACAAAGTCTTTCTGAACACTGTTGTATGTGATGCAAAGCTGCGCCAGGTGAAATAATCCATAACAAGCGCCGTTGATGTCCGGAAGTTGGCGCCTGACGGTTGAATGCTGCCCGAGCCCGGGCTATCTTGGCAGTGTGGTCCGGGAAGACTGAAATGGTCAAGTCCTTGACTTTAATCTGTCGGAGCTCTCTCGCACGACGTAAGTTGTCAACACAGACACTGTGATAATGAAATCTGCACACGATGGCTCGTGATCATGCACCAGGTTTGGGCTTGGGTTGTAGGGTCTGGTGGGACCAGTCCAAAACTGCCTCCTTTTCCAGAGCGAATGCTTCCTTTAGCAAGGCAGCTACAGCAGCAGTGGCACAAGTGTCGGGACCCTCTGGAACTCCTACTATCCTAATGTTGTTACGCCGTGACCTAGACTCCAAGTCTACACATTTATTCTCCAGCTTGGCTAAGTTA